GAAAGGAGGCTCTTTGCACAAAGTCATGGTTTAATCCAAATGTGAAAGAGCAAACAATGTGTGCATACTGATAATTTCAGAACAAGAACTACCTGATTAAAAACCACCAATCTGAGGATGTGAGGTTTTTTTCTTTTAGAAACAGTTCTCATTCTGTTCTCCATCAATAGGATCAGCGCCCCCACGCTCATCAAACTTTCGTGCTTTGCTGAATCGTATTTTCCCACCTAAAGTATCACTGATTTCACAGGGACAGTGTCAAGTAACATCTCCTTACTACGCCAGAAGTGAACTGTCTGGTTTTTCCTGAAGAAACACTTGGCCTATTTCTACAAGGACAACCACACAGCAGCCATTAGGGCCGTTACTGTAACCAACCGAACAAGGCACTCTGCTAACTGCAAGAAGAGAGCAAGAAGTTGTGCACTGAAAAATCCTGTTCTGCTTTAAGGTCTCTACGGTCTTTGCAAGTTAAGAAAACAGATTTCATCCAAAAAGCTGAAAATGCCACATATACTATAGCATAAGTACTTAAGTCCACTAAGAAAGTACTTCAGCACATGCTTAAATATTGTCCAGGTTGTCTAATCTGTATTGTCTACTTTTGCTGTTATTACATTTTTGTGGTATTGGAGAAAGAACAAAGGAAAAGAAAGTTGGAGAAGATTTAAAGAACCATGAAACCAAAATAACTTACCATACTGGAATTTTTTTTGACCTCAAGGGGAAGAGCTTTTTACAAGACCCGATTTGATAAACAATCAGGTTTGTTTCTCTGCAGTCCAGTTAAAAGGAATTTAAGAATTCAAAACAAAATAGAGAGATTTACTCTATTACTGTTACACAGGCAGGAGTACCTTTTGACTTTTTGTTTCAGGAGCTTTCAGATGCAGGGACTCAAAGATCAGACAACAAGCCCAAGCCAGTTAGTTCAAGACCTCTCTACGGAAACTTATAGAAACTCTTCCATACAAGAATAATCATCACATACAGGCTCCTAACACAGTATTTGAGAGGGGACTTGATACGGTCAGCAGTTTTACAAGCACCATTAAGTCTAAGTAAAAGTTGACAGAATTTAGGAGATGAGTCTCATTTGAGCTATGACTGTCTTATACCTCTTTGGCAGCAGTGTGAACGGGCCTTAAAGTGGCATAAATTACACTCAGTAATAGCTAACATGTTTCCCCCAAAATATCAGTGAAAGACAATGAAACTTAAGCTTCGCAGTCATTTTGCTGCATTTTGATAGCAAATTCTTTCAAAGCCCTTTAAATTCAGAAGAGATGTGACACGAGCCTGGGGAGCACACCCAGCATCTCTGAGTTTGCGTCCAGTCGATATCTGATAGAACATCCAAGTGCTGATGGGAGAGCTATAATTACCCTTACAGTTCTGTACTGATGCATCTGTCACATTTCTCCAGGTAGTAACGGTCTGTGCATTACACTGTAATGGGCACCTAGACACCTGGATACCTCATATGTCTAAGAAGCAGCAAGGCCATTCCATGCACTTCCATCCTCACAGATATTTTTGAGCCTTCTTTTGTCCATTTTTTTGTTCTGTTTTTTCTCTCCTCCAACTAGTTTTAAGGATCAGCCCTCAGTGGTACCAGCAAGGAAATGCCCCTCCTGCACAAAGCCTGCTGTGGGAGCTCTCAGAACACTGAGCCAATGCTGAGTTTCACCCAGTAATCCCTATGGTAAGGCAGGCTCTGACCTACTGCAGGCAAGGCTAGGTAACTTAATGGTGGGTCACTCTACATAACTGAAAATCCCTTTTCAGGTACTGTGGGAAACTTCATTGTCTCAGATATAAAGGAACCACCTATCAGACACTTGATATGGATTCAACTCCAAAATGTGGAAATTCTTTATACAATACCTAATTTTCCACACGTGCAATGTGCCACCAGATGCTTACATGAATAAGAACTCCAGCCCTCCCGTTCTCTCTCTGTTCTACATCTCCTAAATGGAAATATCAGGACTTTCCCTACTTTGGAAATCAAATGAAAAATGCACGTATTAAACACAGTGAGGGTCTTAGGTGCTGCAGTAATGAGTCGCAGAAGCAGCAGTTTGGGATGCTGAACAGACTGCAGAGCTTTTATTGCCCATTTCTTTGCTGTCCTACAAACGCTTTTCTGCTGCACCTTTCTCCAAAGCAGTTCTGAATTGTTCTTTTCTACCTGTTACCTCAGATTCTGCATGAATTAAATTCACTTCATCTAATTTATCTGAGAAAGAGAAAGATCGGAAAATGACGTGTTGCAAAGAACTGGTGTGATGAGTGGCAGCCTTGGGAGTATCCTGGGATTTACACCTCCAAAATCCCTCCCCCAGTCCTTTCAGATCAACAAATGAATTTCAGTTGGAATAGAATTGGGTGCTCCTCAAGCTCTGCCACAATCACCTATCTGTGCTTTCTGTAATGCATATCTAGGTTTATACAACACATTAAAAAATAATCTATGCCAGGTGTCCAAGGAGCCACTGCAATGTGTCGGTCAGTACACAACTGCACAACACATGCTCTGTAATCCATAAGAAGGTATCACTTGTGGATGCCTTGTCTCTGTTCTACCTTCTTCAAGTGGCTTTCTGTTTGCAGCCCAAGCAGATAGGGCTATGCCTAATGGGGGCACCAAACTGTGGTAACGAGTGGTGACTTAACTATGCAGGTATCAAAGGCTGCTAAGGTCGAAGCAAAACTGATGCTTTATTTGGAAGCCAGGGTTCAATCCGAGCTATCAATAAGCACTGATGTGTTGAAGCTTCTGAGAAACACCACAAAAAAATCCACTGTAGGAAACAGAAAAAGTCTACAAACACAGCTGTGGTCTCATAAGCTAACAGGGAACAACTGGAACAGCTGCATCTCCTTGTGAAGGAACCAATTTATTAGACAGCCCTGACAGTTAATAACTTCCAGCATTGCTTTAATTAGCAAGGATGGACACTTCTCCATGCCTTCATCGGCCCAGACTCACAACCTGGCTTTAGTAGAACATGTCTTGGTAAGTCTGGGGTCGAAAAGAGTTGTGACAGAATGAGCCCGTTTGTATGTGCAGTGTTCCACTGCAGCACCAAGGCTTGATTCATCAGCTGAGCTGCTCAAGCAGCTGTTAGCATAAGAAATTACCCAGCCTGACAATTACTTACATGCACAAACGGAGCAACTACAGACAGAGATCGAATAACCCTGAATATTTCCATGTGTGTATTTACATCACCAAGTTTTCAAAAAATCTGGGCATGGAAAACTGTTGCAACCATCACAGCTTCCCAGTCCTCCTTTGTCTGCAAACTCAGTCTCCTCTCTTTCTGGAAATAGCTACTAATTCATTATTATCACTACTATTTCTCGCAATTTCATTTGTTTCCCTAGCAGTGCCTGTTTCCTCAGTTTCATTATTATCAAACAGTTCTGCCGTGATAGACTGCTGATCCTCATCTTCATATTGATTAATTTCATTTTCACATGCATCATCCTGATTTTCAACATCTTCAGCACAGTCTTCTTACAATGAGTCATTTGCAAGACAGATTTTCATTATTGGAGTCATCTTCAGCATTAGGATGTGCTGGACCAGCTTCAGCAACACAGCCATATTCCACTCAGCTAGATTATTATACACCAGAGATGCACGTACTAAAGGGAATTATTCAAAACCTCTATAGTGGTGTAAGGAGGAAAGTGAATCTGGCCTTGTTTGCTCCTCTGCCTTTTGGCTATCTCAGGGAAGGGATATGCCAATCATACTTGGGCTTGATCATTATCAATGTAATTAAAATGCAATTTATTTTTTTGGATTAATTTGTAGATTAAACAGTCATTTTATTATGTTTATCTCGGACATCTAAAATATTTAAGCATTTAACATTACTAAGTTTGCCAAATAAATCTTTCATTTAGTATAATTAGATTTGTTTAAATTAAAAAATATATTGATATTCCAAAATAGCTTCATACTCATTTGGAACACTAAATTAGAACTTAAAATAACTTGGAGTTGTCCCTGCTTTTTCAGCATACAGGTCATGAAACACTGTTCCCTACTGCCACGCATGCTCTTCTGCCCACATTAATCCAGACTCTCATAATTTGCACCATATCATCAGTGCTTCAAGCTCCTAATAATGAGAGAAAAGCAGCTGTGTCCTGTTCAGAGGATACACCCAGGAAGTGCCCTGGAAAGCAGGCACGTTTATAGGAGGAAAACCACCAGGCCAGGTGTGGCTGGGGCAGCCCAAGGAGCAGCCAAGGGGGTCGGGCTGCTCCCTGCACTCGGCCAGGGCTGCTGCTGCCCAGACCCTGAGCATCAGTGTGAACATGAGAACATAAAGGCTCTTACAAAGATTATTGCTCTCCAATGCCCTTCTAAAACCCAGAAGCATGAGCTGAAGTTGCCTTCCTCTTAATGTGTGTAATTACAAATGTTATTGTAGGTCATTAAATTATCAGCTATTATATTAAAATCCAGTTTCAGAGCCAAACTTCATCTTGTAAGAGTGATGAAAGAGTCATCTTGAAAGCAGTGTAGCCAATGGAAACAAAGTGGATGATCCACACCAGCCAAAAGCAATGGTTTATGTTACCTTTTGAAAAGTACACTCAGGAGCAACAAGGAACACTATTTCCCCTCCTTTTGGTTATTTCCCAGAGAATGGCACGGGTGACTCATGCTCACCTTATGCTCAATTCTTTCACTTGCAGAACCAGCTATTAATCTGATGCCCCCCATCTTGTTTTTGCTCTCTTGGTTATTCTTGCTGAGGCGTCGGACCTTGAGCCTGCCTTTCCTGAACCACATCCCTTTCTTCAGCTTATTTCCCCTACTCATATCACTTTGAATTCTAATTCTGCCTTCCAGTGTAACCAAAACCCTTCCAGTCTGTCCCCTCCGGAACAGCAGTAAGCAAGCACTCTCTCCCATCCATCACACAGATCTTTAATGAAACACAACTAGATCCACAGGAACCCACTTCACATACCTTTCCAGTTCCTCAGCAGGCCACAGCTGAGTGCTTCTGAAGCGAGTTTTTCAGCTAGCTGCTGCTCCCAGCTGGGTCACGCTGGTCCCAGGACGTCCTGCAGAGCTGTGTCCAAACATTCTGCTGAAAAAATGAGCACATGAGCAGGACGCCATTCCCAGAGAACAGCTACAGTCTCATTATGAAAAACCATTGCTTAAAGTTCAGAGATGCTGGCAGTGAGCGTTAATATTCTCACCTGCTATTTTTATGTCTCCCAGATGCAACAAAATGATGTAGAAAACAAAATCTATCAGTTGCCACGTTTTCTACAAGCCTCAAGAAATTAAAATACTTTGAAATTTTATACCTGGATTCTTTCCTACTCAGTCTTAACACAGGAACACACGTGCACCTGCACACTTGTCTGTTTTCTGCTAAATTCTGCCACTACACTAAGTTGTGTGTATAATTATAAAACTTCACAGTCAGTTTTATGATCTATTTATTAATTCCTGTAGCTAAACATGTGCCCATCAAGGTATGAGCAAGATAAATCTGAAGATCTTCCAAAGAGTTTTTATCTTTCTGTTCAGAGGAAAACACGAGACAGTTCTCTACAGACCGTACAAGTGCATTACAATCAAAAGAAGTTCTTTGTTTTAGCTACTCATGTTTCCTCGGGTTATTCTGCACTCCTCCTGCAGGGAAGGTCTAACAGGAGGTTAAGATGATGTAAGACACTTGAAGATGATTATTTTTCTGTCCTCTAACTATGGCCAAGGCTCTCTCCTCTACCCACAGCCTGCACTACAGCTGCATTTCCAGGTGTGGCTGCATACAATATTTTTTTTTAAGTACATTTCCTCTGGAATTCTTTTTGCTGCATCTTATAATGGTCTGCCCCTAATTTTAGGAGACTCTTTTCATCTGATGAACCAGATCTTAAAAACCTGACTTTAAAAACCCACTCCACAAGTGCTTGCATTTTTCATGAACTTCGGGTGCGTGTGGTCTCAAGGACAGCATATTCTCTGTTTCAACATTAGAAATAGCCGATCATCAAAAACCCTATGCTATTAATAGATCGTTTTGTTCGATCATTCTGAAGAGCAGGACTCATACACAGCACATCAACTTTGATCCCACAGCCTCTCCACGCCGTGGCAGGACCAGCAGGTTCATGTGGGACAGTGCACCTATTGTGACCTGCAGGAGACCACTATGGAAAGGACAGCTTTATGGAAAACTGAGATCCACAGAGAAGGGTGTCAGACTTTGTGCAGAGGAAAAGCTGGCAACGCTGCTCAGATCTCTTTCTGCACATCGTAAAGGGGTGAAAGTCACAGTAGTGTTTGTTAAAGTGGAAATTTTTCATGCTCCTGTGGCATCTGGTAACTGTTACACGTACAACAAATGGCTCGTGAATGGCTCTCAGAGGTAAGCCCCATCCTCAGACGGACGGATCTAAGAGGGACAGTTACCCCAGAATCGAGCACCCGTACATTTCATACTTCCCATAGAAGGATGGCCACAAATACCAGCAATTTGTAACAAAGTCAGGCATTGTCCCCTCCCCGTCAAGTCTATCCATGTGTCTGAAATAGCAAATGAGCTTCTCTTCCTCCTTGATTCTCTGTAAGTAGTATGAAATTCAGTACTCAAGGTGCACTCTTGAAGTGTGTTACCTCCTAATGAAGATGTTCATTTTTGTGCAGACAACAGTGGATGATGTTAGTCCTACGCTGCCTGTACTAAGAAGACAAACCACACACAAAAGAACCAACACCAAACAGTGAGCACAGAACAACAGGAACAGAAGATGCCTTCGCTTCCCCACTAAAATTCCATCAGTTTGAGTCAAGGTCACCTTCCACCACACTTCAGCCAGCAAACAAATCCATAGACCCCAACCAAACTGTGAATTGCAGAGCAAAGCCCTGTATGCACAACAGGGCACAAAGAGACTGACTCTTGTAGCTGGAAAGAATTTTAGAGGATGCTCCTTTCTTTCTCTCCAAAATAAAAGATGCTTTTTTGTTTAATATACAGGAAATATCCATCCTATGCATGCCCCCCCACTCCTTGGAGCTGTAATTCCTTCAGTACTCCCTTAAGATCTCTAATCTTTACAGTCAAGCACAAAAGCTGCTAATATAAATATTTGCAGTACTATCATATGCTGGAGAGCCTTGAGTGATGAACTGCTCTGCAATTTGCAGCCCACTAGCTGTGGGTGCTGTTTCCATTATACAGAAGGAATGTGGTAGTCTGACAGAAAGTATTAAACAAAGGGAAGGTTTTACACAGTGCTAAGTACAAGGTTTTGCCACTTCAGTGCAAAATACTATAGTGTATTCGTGCTACTTCTAATGAGACAAGGATAAGTAAATCAGGGTCACCAAGCAGACCGTTCCAGTGAGTTATGAAAGTGAGAGTAACAAACTTGAATTTACAATGCATGCCCTTTAGCTAAATCTGAGATTTGTTGCAGTTATTTTGGCCTTATTAAAGTATAATATTAACGTCCATAAGAGAAAATTTGTTATTCCAACGACACTTCTATACCAAACAATGCTATATTTAGAGACAATAACTACGCTGCATTGCATAATCTGGCATTTGTACCACAAGGGAGTCATATGGCATTATTCACTAATGACAGAAAGGCTTCTGGCTCCTTTTCCTGGTGTCATAAATATTCTTTTAGAACAAGCAAAATAGAGGGGGTGGTACAACAGAACCGCAAGTTTATTTCTTAATTGCAAATTACTGAGAATAGCTTTCAGTCCTTATCACAAGACTCACAGCACTGGAAGGAGTTAAATTCTATCAAACTTTTAAAACCAGATCACTTCTAAAAATTCACTTTGAGGCACCTGTTACTGTTTGATGCTCTCAGCACATGGCAAACGAAGGCTTAGAGCACGAGGTATCCTTAAGGTAGAACCATCACCACAGGCTGCCAGCACTGGGGATGCCGGCTGCTGCTTCGGCTCAGAAGATATTTCCCAAGTGCTCCAGGACTGCACTGGTGCTGGGCTGACACATGCAATGCACAGACAGCTCTCTGCACAGTTCGCTTAAGGATCTTCTCTTCAAGAGCCTCTGGCAAGGGGAGCCAGAGTGATCAGCAGGCGACATTCATAACATCGCTGGTTAAAGAGCAGGACTAAACTTCCAAGAAAAAAACAGATTTCTGCAGTACCTGAACACTCTGTCAGAGCAGTCCTGATTGCCTGCGCTCCTCTTCCCAACCCAGTTAAATGTAGCTTTGTCAGACTGATGACTTTTCCTCATTCTCACTTAGATTAACGCTTTGGCATTGGCCCTTGGAACTCAATCGTTTGTGATGAGATGGTCTGTAACAGACTTCTCCTGCAGGAGGTCTCTTATTTCTTTCCCCCAGTCAGTACCCTGTTACATTAAATAGGTTTGATAGCGAAAACAAAAAAGAAAACAAAAAAAAATCCACCCTTCCCCCAAACTAAGCAGGTAGTACTCCTATGCAGCTGCAGAACAATCTCAAGTCCATCAGCATCACCAGGAACCTGTTTTTTCCAGTGGGTTGCTTTGCAAATTAGGAGCCATGGGTGCCTCTCAGAGGTTCCTGGCCCAGATCCATTCCACCAGCTACAGGTGCACAGCCCAGGGGTGGACATAGAAACAACAGCACAAGAATCACACATCGTCTCCAAATTCCACCAAAAAATCCCCACATAACATTCTTCTCTGTAAACCCCATGGGAACAACATCTAAGAAAGTGCAGGTATTCGTGAAGTTGAGAGTTTGCTACTCTAAACCACAACTCTGGAGTCTTTAAGGCTTGATAGCACTTCTAACTCCTCCCGTTCTGGCATTTACTTCCTTCCACCTCTTGGCTCTTCAGAAATCTTGGCAAACTTCCTTCAAAACACAGGAGACGCTTTTGAGGGATCTGGATGGGTGGTGATGTCGTATCCAGGCTATCAGCATCTTTGGTTCAGGAATTCACTTTTCCTCCCAGAACACTATAAAGGCATCCCACATTTTATGTGCCTCTTAGCTTTGTCATTTTTTCTTCAAAGATGTCAAAAAGAGCCTGACAAACATTGAATTTATGTTTCTTGTCATGCATAAAAGAAGAGCATCCTACCTGGCCACTGTCCTGAAAAGACACACACAAATGGCAAGATTTGGACCCAGCTTAGAGAAGTCTGCTCTAAGAACTTAGGGGGCTGGGAAGATAATTTCTGGAGCTGCTTCTCATTAAGATACAAGTAGGCAATAAAACGGAATGCAGAAAATTAAATTTCCATGGTTTGTGGCATTTTGCCATTTACCTTCAAGTTTTGGAAAAAAACAAAACCCAACAACAAACAGCAGAAAATGATAAAGAAAAGAAACACAACCACAAGACTTCATGAAACAGTGAGGCACTGAACAACAGAGGCCAAACATTTTTGAGCTCTGATCAATGCTCACAGCACTTTTCCCATCAGCTCCTGAGCAGATATCCTCACACCACAAACCCGAGAGGGATCGATCATTCATCGCTGAGTTTTGTGGAGTTCAGGTTAGAAAATGGCATTCAGCCTCCCCCTCCTTGCAAAAAGTCACTTCTCTTCAAAGAAAAGATTTCTGTAACACTGTAAGAAGTATATTTTATAGAGCAGAACTGCTCTGCCACAGATAAATACATATTTTTTACACTTTCCATGCTCTGGGTAACACATCAAGGCATTTCATAGACACCAGGTCAGCGCTGACACGTAACCATCGAAACCATGGCACAGAAAGGAACAACCCAGCTCAACTCTGCCCAAATGTAGGAAGCGAAGACAGATTGCAACACACCGAAAGTTCCACAGCCCTTTCAATAGAGAAAACACATTTACATCAATTTTGGCAATAATATGAGGTTGAAAGAACTATAAATTGCACATGAACTTAAGTACCAAGGAACCAATAGCCACCTGAAATTATTTTGTCCATTCTGAGTGGAAGCTGCAGAAAAGAAAGCTGAGCAAGAGCACAGAGAAGAATCTGCATCTTAGACCTCCTTCTGTCCCAGCTGTGAGAAGCTGGGCTGCCTTCAGCCAAATGCTGGACCAGAAAATGAAGGCTGCCCCAGCACTGTGCAGGATGCTGCAGGCACCCT